GGTAGCATCTCCCCAGGTTGCCCCCAGTTGGGGCGAGGGGTGGCACCTCTAAGGCACCTGGGGATATTTTCAATAAGGCAGCTGAAAAGATCCAAACTGCTGCTTTTTGCCTTGAAATCACTGCCCAGTGCCTTGTGGTTTTGGGTTGAAAACCAGCTGAAAACCGTAAACACCCCTATTCCCCTTCTGCAGCTGGAGGAGTTTTCCCTTCTCCTCCTCTTTGGCTCTTCTGTAAATAAAAATGAGCTTTATTGATTTTATTTCAGTAACAGAAAAATAATTTGCCTTTGGCCCGAGCTCGCAAGATGCTAAACTCCATCCAGGAGTGTGGTTTTGGGTTTTTTTCCCCTGCTTTTATAGCGTTTCAGATCTGTGTTTATGATGCCAGCGCTGACACATCCTAAACTACAGCGTGGCCATAACCTCCGGAAAAACTCCCGGCGGGATTGAAATAGTGGCTGGCAAATGTTCCTTCCTCGCTGGAGCCTGTGAATCAAAAACCATCAACGGTTTAAGCAAAGGCTTGTGCCGGGGAGGGAGAACTTATGCCAGAGTCGATGCATATTTTATCACCGCGCTTATTCACTCGCAGCCCTTCTCCCTCCGAACGCCGTGCGGGTTTTAATTAAATAGTCGTTGGCGAGGCTGTTATTCTAGCTTGGAAGGCCTCCAAATGGCCGTGTTTTTTCCCCAAAATGATCACAAGGGGATGTGGTCCCATCCCCCCCTGTCCTCGCCAAGGTTCGTTTTCCGCAAATACCGCTAATTAGGTTTGTCTGGCCGGCCGCCGGCTCTCCGATAGCATCTTTCATTAGCACTGACCTCTCCGCGCTCGCAAGGAGCTGCCTGACGTTCCCCGAGCGGTGCCTTGTGGATGTCGCCAAGAAACGTCCCTTTGGCACCGGGCAAACAGGTCCTGGTCTTGCAAGTGTTGGTGTTGTGTGGAGCCCTGGCTCCTTAGCGACTGATTGCAAATCATAAACTAGTTTAGGTCGGAAGGGAACTGGCTCCTTAGCGACTGATTGCAAATCATAGATTGGTTTAGGTCAGAAGAGATCTTAAGGAACATCCAGTGCCACCCCCTGCCCTGGGCAGGGACACCTCCCACCACACCAGGTTGCTCCAAGCTCCCTCCAACCTGGTTCACCCCCTCCAGGGATGGGGCAGCCACAGCTTCTCTGGGCAACCTGGGCCAGGCTCTCACCACCCTCACACCAAAGAAGTTCTTCCCCAGATCCTATCTCAATCTCCCCTCTTTCAGTTTAAAACCATTATCCCTTCTCCTATCGCTCCACTCCCTCCTAAAGAGTCCCTCCCCACGAGGTTACGAAGCTTGGGTGAAGCTCCTTGTCTACCCAACCGACTTGTTCCTGGTTGCAAACTGAAACTGGGAAAAGCTGAGGTTGGTGCCTCCAGGATCTGCTCTACCAAGGGGTTGCCAGTGGCCATGCATGGGTGGTCAGCTTGGCTTGGGTGCAGGAGGGGTGAAGAAATGAGTGGGAGAGGAACAGGGAATCTCTTCTTGACTTTAGACATAGAATGATAGAATCATAGAATGGTTAGAGTTGGAAGGGACCTTAAAGATCATTGAGTTCCAACCCCCTGCCCTGGGCAGGGACACTTCCCACCACACCAGGTCGCTCCAAGCCCCCTCCAACCTGGCCTTGAACCCCTCCAGGGATGGGGCAGCCACAGCTTCTCTGGCCAACCTGGGCCAGGCTCTCACCACCCTCACACCAAACAAGTTCTTCCTGAGATCCCATCTAAATCTTCCAGTTTAAAGCCATTCCCCCTTGTCCTATGGTTCCCCTCCCTGATCAAGAGTCCCTCTCCATCTCTCCTGTAGGCAACTCTCCACAGGGTCTTGGAGAAACCATCGTGAGAGGCTGAGAGGTCCCACTTCCCTTGCCCACACTTAGAGACGATGGGTCTTTCCCTTCCCTTGGCTTTAAATTCCCCCCCAGCTCCTCAGCCACCAACAAGACTTTGCTCCCTCTTGTCAGGAGCGAGATACTTAATTTGTCAGTTTGCTACGCTTAATATTTCTTTCATGTATCGCGTCGGTTTTAAATGCAAAACATGTCTGGATAAGCTCACTTTTTTGCTTTTTCGGTTTTTTTTTTTTTTTTTCTCCACCCTGCTGCAGTCGACACATTGAAGGTAGCTGTGTTTAACTAATAAAAAAGATTTTAAAATGCTGGTTTTGCACTTCTTTAATTGACTTCCAATTTCCATTCACATGCAGCCTGGCACATTGCAAAGGGAAAAAAGAGCGCCGAGCAAATAAGAAATGCGTCACTCGCCGGTTTTTTACCATAATCAAAAATGTAAAAATTAAGAATCTGAATCAATGTACATTAAACTATGTAATTGCCTAAATAAACGTGGCGGGGGTAGATAATGGGTCTTCCTGATTAGAAGAAAATATCAAATTTAGTGCAAAGGTTGTATTTGGTTGCAAAGCAGCACGGTTTCGCAGTTGCACCCCCTTCTTTTGGGGGATAAACCAGGCAGGGGGGGCTCAGAGGGAAGCAATGGGTCCAGAGGCTGGTGGAAGGATGAAGGAGCTGAGAGCATCTTTGGTGGCATCTTTGAGGGAATTATGAGGAAGGAGGAATCACAAGTGGATGGTGGAAACTGGCTTTCCCAGCTCTCATGAACCCGGTGGTGTTGTGTTTTCTCTTCCAGCACCCAGTCCTGGTGGTCCCTGACCTGATGAAGGTCCTGGATTGCAGCTACTCTTCTTGAAGCAAGAGAAAGGGCTTCCAAGAGCAAGACCTTCCAGGTAAACCCCTGCCCTGGATGGGCTTATTGAAGCCTCTCCATATTTATCATCACTTGAGGTTGCTCAGGGTGGTTTGTAGCTCCATGGGACACAGTGTGGTGTTCTACTAGGACACACCACGTGCCTCCCAACCTTTTTCCCTGTAAATTGTGGCAGCTTTGCCAATCTGATCCATAAAAATAAATAATATCCCGGCGTCACAAGCCACACTGAAACTGCTCAATGGTCTTAGGGTTGTCCCGAGGGCCGCGAGCCCACGGTTTGAAGGCACTTGCCCATCAGTAGAAACACAGAGGTGGGTGTCAGAAATCAACAGTTGGGATCCAGCAGTGGTGTCAGATGGTGACAGAGCTGTTGCCGTTGTCCCTGCCAGCCCTCCAAAGGCTCCTCCCCCCGTACTGGTATTTGAGAGCAAAAAAAAAAAAAAAGATCATCCAGGTCTGAATATCAGTTTGCGTTTGTCCTTTCCCCTTAAGTCATTTCTCCATCAACCACAGGATCGCTGCACGCTTTGTGCTCCAAACCTGGTTGTCCTTCCCTGCAGAACAAGCAGTGCCCCAGCACGAGATGTCCCCAACGCTTTTAATCTCCAAAATGCCTCCCCAGGCGGGTTGTGTTAATATTGGAGAGTGCAGGAGGAGGGGGGGGAGCTGCCCACCCGCCGTCCTTGCTATTCATGGCTCGCCCTCGCGCTGGGGGGATGAGGAAAAACTGCTGGGTTTTGACGTCGCAGCAAGGAGTTAAAGGAAAGGTGAAATATTAAGGGGCACCCTGAGAAGGGCAGGATCCCAGGAAAACTTTTCTGGGGATGAAAAAAAAAACACCCCAAAAGCTGTCCCCTGGAAGGGCTCCAGCTGCCCGGCTCCCACCCAGCCTGCCCGTCCTCTGCTCCCCAGCGCCCAGCCTGCCCTAGCAGGGATGCTGAAGGGCACAAAGCCGGGATGCTGGTGGGGACAAAAAGCTTTTTTTTGGGTTGCAAAAGGGGCCGGGCTGCTCCGGTGAAGCAGCTGGTACTTGGGTTTTGCTGGGGGAGAAGTAGAAATGTGTTGGAGCATGTGTGAGCCCGTCTTGTTGAGCCTGCTGCTCTGAGTGCTGGCTGTGGAGGTTGTTAACTAACAAGGAGTTAAATAATAATGGTAAAAAAGAATTTTTTTTGACTCATAAAGTTTACCAACACAAGCATCCCAGCACAGAGAGATGCTGGGATGCAGGAGGCTGCAGCCCTGGTGCACCCCAGTCCTCCTGGGGTAGGAAGAGGTGGCCTCAGGGGTGGTGAAAGAGGCTGGACCATGGCACGAGGAGAGGATGCATCACCCACCCTCCATCAGCAGAAGCAACATCCCTCGGCTAACGAGCTAAGCCTCAGAGGCAGGGTTAATTAATGCAGCCTCCCAAGGTCTCCTAACATGGGTGGATGCCACTGACCTTCGTAGGAAGCCCTTGAAGGCAGAAACGTGAGGTCTCCAGGCAGTAAGAGAGAGAAGTAATAAATAGTTCTGGGAGCACTTTGAGAGAACATTAACCTAGGGTCTCCTAAGCCACCACGAGCAGCAGGGCATAAATGGTGATACTGTGGGCTGCTCCAGCACCATCTCTTATCTCCAGGCACTTCAAGCACATCCATGACTTGGTGCTCATGATGCTCACGGAGGCAGGTACGGGAGGGTTTCGTCTGTCTGGGAGCTGTTTTCGTCCGTCTGGGGCTGACAGATGACAGATGACGAGCCGTGTTTGAGGGGAAGAAAATGCAATTACCCAAAGTAGGCTTTTGGCAGGACACAGAGGCGGCGGAATGAGGTCGGTGAAACCTGGGGAAGACGGGATGAAAGACCGGCTGCTTATATCCAGGGCCCTGGTTTGCTTTTGGTTGCCTCCTCAGAGACGTTGTTTGTGCAGTAATTAGTGATGTAAAACATGCATCGGCCTCTTTGTTCCCATTAGGCTTGGCTACGGCTTGAAATGATGCGCAACAGTAGCCCCTGGTTAATTTTACCAAATGTTCGCTTTAATTTCATTTAAGACCAGCTGTCTATAAACCTATAGTGCCTATTTCCATCAGGTGCATATAAATATATATTTATATATATATCTATCTTCTGTGCTGAGGAGAAGGAAACAGATAACAAGGCACTGGTGGAAACAGTGCACCCTTTGGCCCCCAGCCTCCAGAGAAGGAAACAGATAACAAGGCACTGGTGGAAACGGTGCACCCTGGGGTGATGTGTGAGGTCAAGCCTGAAGGCTCAGGGTTGGCTTGATGCATCCTGAGGGATGAAACCTACCTCCCTGCTGTGTTCCTCCACCCTAAAACCCCCCGTGTCTTACGTGTCCGGATCAATATTAAACACCCAGTGTGTACAGCAGTTACTAATTGGGCCGTGCACAGCTGGGAGCCTGCAGGGAGACGTGGTTTATTTGCACCCGAGCAATCACGCCTATGTTTAAATACCTCCCAGCAAACAAGTCCACCCAGCTCCTGCTTTGCTCTTCCTCGTGTCTTCAAGGCTGAGTTTAGTGGTAATATCCAAGAGCAGTTTGTCTCCTTCCTTACTTACAAGGACTGGGAGATGCCTGCTTGATGGTCAGGATGGGTAACATTGCCCTGGTAGTGTTGGTCCCATGCTACGTTGTCCAAAGTGGGCTGGTGGCTTCTTCTACCAGCTTTCACCATCATGTCACATCAGAGTCACCACCATTGTTGCATGAGACCCTAGAAAGGATCCCTCAAACCTGCGTTTGTGCCATCCCTCCCTCCGGCAGCACCAGGACGGCCGGGAGGAGGCTGCCGTGGGGCGATGGGAAGGGCTGCAGCTCCTTGGTCCCGAAGCGTGGTGAGATGTGGTCAGCCAGGAAACGTATGTGGAATTGCCGGCCGACGCAGTGGACCAGGTTGCCCACCACGGCGCACTGGAAGCCGGATGGGTTGGGCATGGCATAGGTGGCACACTCATACCATAGCTTGGCCTTGGCGCCGCAGCGGTAGACGCTGATGCCCGTGTTGCGGTGAAGGTCGAAGCGGTAGATGAAGCCGTTGGTGCTCACCATCTCGGCCGTCCTGTCCTTGCCACCGCTGGCCGGGCTGACGCTCCAGCTGTCCCAGCGGGCGGCGTAACGCAGCAGCACGTAGCGCAAGGTGCCCCCCGTCACGTAGATCTCCCCATCGCACACCGTGGCCGTGTGGGCCACGGCGAAGGTGTCGTGGGGCAGGGGTGCGGTGAAGGTCCAGCGGTCCTGCCGGGGGTCGTAGCGCTCCACCGTGTAGAGGCACTCGCCGCCGATGGCGTAGAGGTGGCCATCCAAGGCCACGAGCTTGCAGTGCGGCCGTGCTTGGTTCAGGGGGCAGATCTCCTTCCAGATGTTGGTCAGGGGGTCATAGCAGAAGACACGGTTGGAGGGTCTCTGCGTCCGGCCCGTGCCCTCGCAGCCGGCCACCACGAAGAGGTAGTTGAACATGCTGCACATGGCACACCCCCGGGAGACCACCTCTGGTGGCACGTGGCAGAGGTGATGCCAGCAGTCCCCTCCGTCATCGTAGTAGCAGAGGCGGCTGCTGTGGAGGCTGGGCTCCTGCACGTTGACATCTGCCACCACCATGTACGTCTTCCCCTTCATCCTCCTCCGTAGGATGAGCTCCCGCTCACCAGCGTTGAGGCGGCCGTAGATGGAAGGTGTCCTCAGCACCTGCAGGTAGTTGTCGCTCATCACTTTGTAGGCAGCCTCCTGGAGGTGACTGAGCTTCTGCGCCTTGGCTGTGCAAAGGACCTCGTAGCAGTTCCCCAGGTCCAGGTGGGTGGGTGGTGGCATTTGGAAGAGGTCAGCATTGGCCACCAGCCCTGGCTGGGGGCTTGCAGGCGGTGTGCTGGCTGGAACCGAGACCCCAAAACCCTCCATGGGCAGCTGGAGGTGGGGGCTGTCGGCAATCTGGACGATGCTGTCCTTGCGGCCGGGAGATGGTGGCTCAGGGGAGCTCTCCAAACTCCCCACAGGTGGTGGAACTCTGGAGGAGGTGGTGTGATCCTGCATTGCCAAATTTGGGTCCTGGGTTGTGGAGTTCTGCAGCTTTTCATTGACCTGCTCCAAGCTGCGGCACTGGGATGTTCCCGGAGGGATGTAGGGAAGAGACCTCTTCTTCGACACCGATTGGGAGACAGACTGGACATAGTAGTCATAGACTTTGCCTTTAAGGCCAGGGACTGGCTGCCTGGCCCCATCCTTTGCCCGCTGCTCAGGGACGTAGTTCTCCTCCACCTGGATCTTGGTGACCGAGGAGAAAGAGTAGGAGGCGTCCGACCTTGAGTTGCTCGCTGTCATCGTCAGACCCAGGTCCGAGATGATACTGAGGGTCTGGATCATCCCCTTGGCTTCCTGGCTTGTGCCTTCACTGGCCAAATCCTGCTTCATGCTTTGGGCGCGTCCATCACCTCCCACCTGGGCATCAGCAATCCCGGGGGAAAGCTGGCTGCTTGGGGCAAGCGTGGCCTCATCCTCGAGGGTGCTCAGTGGTTCGGCCGCATCCCCAGGGTCATAAGAGTTCAGTTTGCTTCCCGGCTCACTTCCCAACTTGCTTCCTGGCTCCCTTCCCAGCTCACTTCCTGGCTTGCTTCCCAGATTGCTTCCTGTCTTGATTCCTGGCTCGATTCCTGGCTGAATTCCCAGCTTACTTCCTAACTCACTTCTCGAGTCAGTTCCCAGCTCTATTCCTGGCTTGCTTTCCGACTTACTTCCCAGCTCACTTCCCAGATCTCTTCCCGACTTAATTCCTGGCTCAATTCCTGGCTTACTTCCCAACGTACTTCCTAACTCACTTGTCGAATCAATTCCCAGCTCTATTCCTGGCTTGCTTTCTGACTTACTTCCCAGCTTACTTCCCAGCTCACTTCCCAGATCTCTCCCTGACTTAATTCCTGGCTGGATTCCTGCCTTGCTTCCCAGCTCACTTCCCAGCTCACTTCCCGACTTAATTCCTGATTGGATTCCTGACTTGCTTCCCAGCTTACTTCCCAGCTCACTTCCCAACTTAATTCCTGGCTGGATTCCCAGCTTACTTCCCAACTCACTTCTCAGATCACTTCCCGACTCTACTCCTGCCTTGCTTTCTGACTTAGTTCCCAGCTCACTTCCCAACTTAATTCCTGTCTGGATTCCCATCTTACTTCCTAACTCACTTCTTGAATCACTTCCCAGCTCTATTCCTGCCTTGCTTTCCAACTTACTTCCCAGCTCACTTCCCAACTTAATTCCTGTCTGGATTCCCATCTTACTTCCTAACTCACTTCTTGAATCACTTCCCAGCTCTATTCCTGCCTTGCTTTCTGACTTATTTCCCAGCTCACTTCCCAGCTCACTTCCTGACTTAATTCCTGGCTGGATTCCCAACTTACTTCCTAACTCACTTCTCAGATCACTTCCCAGCTCTATTCCTGCCTTACTTCCCACCTTCCTTCCCTGGTCACTTCCCCTCCCGGCCAGCCCCGCTTTCCCACAAATCAGCCCCGCATCGGAAACCATCTCCCCTCCTTCCTCCTCCTCCTCCTCCCACCTTGGCAGACTCCGATCCCCCTGGGGAGGCACACACCGTGCCCGGGGGACGCTCTCCTCTTGCCCATCCCCACCGTCCCTCCTCTCCCCCTCCCCAAACCCCCTCCTCCGACGCAGACCCACCGCACCGGCCCCATCCTCATCCCGGGCGGCGTTTTCCAGCTGCTCTCCTCCCGCCTCAACCGGTGGGATTTTGGCCCCGGCCAGCGAGCGGGACTTATAAAACCTGTAGGCCAAAGTCAGGAGGAGCAGAGCGGCGGCGGAGAAGACCAACTTTCCAGCCAGCTGCATGTCGGACTGCCAGGGCTGGGTTACCCACTGGGGCATTTTTCCATGCCAGGAATGCGGCGAAGCCCGATTAATGATTGTCCAACGAGGAGCCCGGAGCGAGGAGCTGGAGGTTTTGGGGCAAGGTGACTTTGAGCGGGCAAAGCTGGCAGGAGGTTTTGTGGACAAGGTTTGCATGTTTGGGATGGGCTGGGCTCCGGGGGAAAAAAAAAAGGTGCAGCCCGGAGCTGGTGACACGGAGCCAAGGTTTATGAGCCTGGTAAACAGAGAGGCTCAGAGGAAAAGGAGAAAGGAAGCACAAAGGGAGGAAAAGTATCTCCACCAAACAGCCCCACGGTGCTGCCTCCTCCTTTCGTCGGCTTTTTAAAAGGCATCGTGCAAGGAAAAGGTGAAAATAAGTTGTTTTACCCAGGAAAAGGTCTCCCATCCCTGGGTGAAGGTGCTGGGAAGGGAGGGAGATGCAGCCCCGGAGCTGGGCAGACCTTTGGTCTGACGCCGAGCAGCTGCTCCGCGGGTGACTAATTGGGTAACCTTCATTTGTGGCACGCTGGCTAACGAAGGGTGACGGGAAATAGCCGACTAATTGGGTAACCTTCGTTTGTGGCACGCTGGCTAACGAAGGGTGACGGGAAATAGCCCGAAAGCTTCTGGGGTCTCTCTGAGGCCAGCTTGGGAGTGGCAGGGGAATTAAATGCTGGTGGAAAAGGAGCTGGGGGGGGCTTTGGGAGGAGGGGGAAAGTCCATCACCGAAGGGTGGGAAGGGAGGGAGATGCAGCCCCGGAGCTGGGCAGACCTTTGGTCTGACGCCGAGCAGCTGCTCCGCGGGTGACTAATTGGGTAACCTTCATTTGTGGCACGCTGGCTAACGAAGGGTGACGGGAAATAGCCCGAAAGCTTCTGGGGTCTCTCTGAGGCCAGCTTGGAAGTGGCAGGGGAATTAAGTGCTGGTGGAAAAGGAGCTGGGAGGGCTTTGGGAGGAGGGGGAAAGTCCATTGCCGAAAAGCAAAGAAGGGCAGGAGTGAAAGTGCAGCTGGTGGTGGCTGCATTCAGTGTCCACATACACAGGGAGAGGGGTGAGCTAAGGAAAGTGAGTGAAAACATTGGGACTGGGAAGAAATTTGGGATGGGAAGGGATGGGAGAGTCCTCATTTGGAAGCAACACACTGCTGTGGGAAAGTCCATTGCCGAAAAGCAAAGAAGGGCAGGAGTGAAAGTGCAGCTGGTGGTGGCTGCATTCAGTGTCCACATACACAGGGAGAGGGGTGAGCTAAGGAAAGTGAGTGAAAACATTGGGACTGGGAAAGTGAAAGTGCAGCTGGTGGTGGCTGCATTCGGGGTCCACATACACAGGGAGAGGGGTGAAGTAAGGAAAAGAAATTTGGGATGGGAAGGGATGGGAGAGATGCGGGTCCTCATTTGGAAGCAACACACTGCTGCGTGTGGGATGTCTATGGGGATTGGAGTCGCTGTGGGGAAACTGAGGCACTGACACAAGGCAGTGTCAGACTTGATTCTTTCTCCCCCCTACTCCCCGAAAGCTGTCGGTGATGTGTCTGGCTCTGATCTGAATTTCAAAGATTTAAGGGAATTGCTGTCCCCATCGTTCCCCAGGCAGTCGGGTCCTCCCGCCTGGACCGTGGTGGGGGGAACTGGAAAGGAGGGGGCCTGGGGAATGACATCCCTCCGCAGCCGCCGCTCGGCGAGCTGAATTCAAAGGGAGCAAATTAATTTCCTTCTCCCCAAGGGGAACGTCTCGCACGCTGAGAGACGCATAAAGAAACGAGGCCCTGAGAGGAGGCAGAGAAACTGCCAAAACGTGGGTGGGGGGTGGGCGGCTGCTCCTGTTTGTGTGCAGGGACTGCCCCCCCCCCACCTTCATCCTGATCCGGTGGGATTTGCTGGAGAAATGAGCCCAGGAGATGCCAAACCAGCTCCTTGTATGACGTGTGGGTGCGATGGGTCAGCGTGGTGGGGTGGGGGCTCTTGCTGTGAGTCTTTTATGGGTGCTTGTGAGCTCCTGCTTGGTGTCCACAGCCCCCCCCACCCCAAATCACAGCCCGTGCAGCAGCTGATCTTCACCAGGATGAGCTCAGGCACTGCCTTTGGTGATGGGGAGGAACATCGGGACCTCCTTGGGGCAGGTTCCCCACCGTCACCAGCATCTGAGATGACCTCCCAGCCCATGTTGAGATGCCACTTTTCGCCTGATGGCTTCACAGGGGGACGTGGTGGTGTCAAAGGGGTAGAGGTGGTTGTCTATCTGCCCCTAAACCTGCTGTGGATGCTCGTTAGGTGGAGGACCATGTGCTAAATAGTGTAATATTAATATATATATATAGAAAGAGGATGGTCTTGGGAATCAGGGACCCCTGTGCACATCCCTGCTGTGAATGGGAAGAGCCCACCAGCGGCTTTTAGGGGGATGTTTGAGAAATTGTCACCTTGTGTGGGTGCAGCACGGGGAAACGCAGCAATGAAGAGGCTGGGGGAACGAGGACATTCAGATTCAGAGCTGGGCTGGTGCATCCTGCTCGGTTGCATCTTGAGCTTGGGCCAGGGACCCAAATAAACCCCAGTCAAACCCCATCCAGCCGCTCCCCTCCATCCTGTTTGCCATGGGGACCCCAAATCCATTGCTGAGGGAGTTTGGTCCAGCCAAAACCTTTGGGAAAGTGTATCCTCCTGCCTGCGAATGTGGAAGGTCCTGAAGCTGAGGCTGGCACTGGGGTAACTGGGGACGTGCATAGAGGCTGGGCACATGTTTTGGAGCTCAGCTCGTTGGCAAAGGGTCTGGCCACCCGTGTGTGGCCGTGGCCCTGGGTTTCTTCATCTCTCACTGCTGCCGTTTTTAATCTGCAGGTAGAGCTGCAGAGATCCTTGCGGTCGTGAGCTGGGAAGAATGAATTATGGATGTGCTTGGTGGCCCTGTGAACCCAGCCATGGCAGTCACTGTGCCTGGTGATGAGGTGGGGGAGGCAGGGGATGCACCGAGCAAAGCCCACCATCGCTCCTGCCCACATTCCCAGCCCTGTGGAGCCAGAGCATCCCTGTTTTTTTTTTAATCCTCACCTTAATATCCCAAAGTTCGGGTTTGGATGAGCCCTGTGCTGGGATGAGTGTGGTTATCCTCACCGTTGGTGGGTTTTTATTGGGAGGGACTTTGTGTTTATTTGGAAATTGTGTTTATTTGGTGGGACCTCGGGAGGGTGAAACACGGAGCAGGAGGGGGTTTTTCAGCGGGCAGCGCGCTCCGGGTGCTGCTGCCTTCACAAATGTCAGAATGGGAAGCCCAGAGCCCAACTGCCCAGTTTGAGCTGCGGGGGATGATGTGGAGAAGGAGGATCCCCACGGCAAAAAAACAGGTCCGAGGTATAAATGTATATTTATGGATGCCTCGAGGTAAGGAGGACGAGCGGCAGGAGAGCAGGGGATGCGGCCGTGGCGTCTCCGAGCAGCGGTGACGTCTCGGCGCTTGTGACTCTAATTGAATGTAATTGCCTCCTCCAAATTTGGCTAAAACCTTTTCAAAGTCCCCTGAAATTAGGGAACATCGATAACGCCGCTCCTTGGGGTTTTCAGCTCGCGTCATCCCTAAGAAGCGCGATTAATTTTTTACAAGCTAATCATATCTCTTAGGCAGGTTGTCAGCCGTGGATCTGTCATCTCTCATCAATAATGAAACAACCTGAGCAGCTCTTTTCCCCCTCCAGCCTCCTGCATTATTCACTGCCAGGTCCTCAAACAACGGGGTGTGTGGTGGTGGTGGTGGGGGGGGAGCCAGGGACTTAATTGATGTCCTTCGTAATTACCTGTAGGAAGGTGGATGGGGATGGGGAGGCAGGGCTGGGAGGTGAAGGATGAGAGGAGGTGGGAGGTGAAGGCAGGGTCCAGCACTTTGTGGGAGGTTTTCTTTGGAACACTGGGGTGGGGGTGGCATCTCTCTGTCCCTTGTCGCCTTGGGGACATTTTGGGAAAGCATCTCTGGCAGCATCTCTGCCCAAAATGAGGATTCGTAATTACCTGTAGGAAGGTGGATGGGGATGGGGAGGCAGGGCTGGGAGGTGAAGGATGAGAGGAGGTGGGAGGTGAAGGCAGGGGCCAGCACCTTGTGGGAGGTTTTCTTTGGAGCACTGGGGTGGGGTGGCATCTCTCTGTCCCTTGTCGCCTTGGGGACACTTTGGGAAAGCATCTCCAGCAGCATCTCTGCCCAAAATGGGAGACTCCCGTGTCCCCTCAGTCATTGCTTTGGCTGTGATGGTGCTGAGAAGGTCCCATCCTACATCCTGTTCCATCACTGTAGGAAAGAGCTAAGCATCCCAAATGGACACAGAGGGGTGGATTTGGGATACAGCACCTCCGAGCCCACCGGTCCTCTCCCAGCCACTGTATGGGGAGGTTGCGTTGTTCTTGAGATGGCACCAAGCTGGTTGATGGTGGCACTGCCTCTCAAACGCTCCTCATTTCCATGGTTCCGGGCTAAAACCGCCACATTTGCATTTAAATGGAGGTTTGGGCGTCTGTAAATCCCCATTTTTGAAGCGAGAAGGCTTAATGGTTGTTTAATCACGTTGGGATGAGGCCCCCGGAGCGTCTCTGATCCAGCGAGGAGGGTGAGAAACATCCGTGTGTGGCAGGGGGGGCTCTCCTGCCTGCTTAGTAGCATGAGGGTAAACTGAGTCACGCAGACTTCCCTAAAAAAATAAAGATTCCCCTAAAAAAATTTAAAGATTCCTCTAAAAAAAAATAATAAAGAAGGTTCCCTTCTCGCCCAGGGAGGTGCAATGGGCTGGAGCAGCGACAGCAGCCGGGGAGGGTGCAGGGGTTCGGGCAGCTGGTGGGAAGGGATGCTGGGATGCCCTTGTTTTGGGATGAAAGAGGAGGTGCTGGTCCTCCTGGATCCCAGCCAGCCCCAGCCTTTGTGTTCCTGCCAGCCCAAAGTATTACGTGTGGAAAGAAACTCCTGAGCCGCCGCGTGTTTGTTGAGCTCCTTTGAGGTTAGGAAATCGCTCGCAGCGAGGTTGGCAACGGAGCATGGTAGGGACTGAATCTGCTTAATAATAATTAATCATAATAGTAATAATAATGCTT